CAACTCCATCTCCCCTGCCAGTTAATGGGGAACTTTGCCTGCCTGTGCTTAGGCAATATTTTTATGTTATTTCAACAGCTGTAAGAATCAAAAGTCTAATCTTCTGAAGGAAAAAAAAAAAAAAAAAGGAAAAAAAAAAAAAAGAAGATAAGATGTTGTTTTTAACACCAACTCCTGTCCCACCAACTAAGCTGTGGATGGGTGTCACTTGAAAGAATGAAGGGATAAGAATAGAACCCAAGAGTTATTTTTCATATCATGCCCACTCATGGTGAGGCTTTTGCTGCTTTTCATGTGTGAGGAGCCAATCATGCTTTTTGTAGGAGATAGGAAAGACTTGTGCCCTGATATGCACTATTTACATTTCCAACAGTACCTCTGAATTTCCAGAGTCTGATCCCAGTATTTTCTTATTAGGAAAAACGTTACAGAGGCAGCTGGTGTACCATAACCTGCTCACAAACACTTGCAGGTTTGTTCATGAAAATGTCATTTCCCTTCTTGTGAGACACCTGGTGCTTGGAGATCCAGATTCTCATGGGATAAAGGCCTTCTTTCTGGGGGAGAGCTATTGCATAGATCAAATGAGGTTCTGGGGGAGTCACAGCACACCAGCTGTTAGCTGCTTATAAGCATGAAGTGCGTTGGAGTACAGTTTAATGTTTGCTGTGGATCAGGCAATTGTAGCTCAAATGAGATATTTTCTTACATTTCTAAAAAATGAAAGTAAATATTGGATTATGTAACATGTAAACCCAGTTCCCTAAAGGCCTAACCCAGTACTGGCAGTTCTTTACTTCAGTTTTATGTTTCTGACCATTCACAAGATGTTTATATGCATAACGTTCTAAACTGTTTTTCTAGCATTTGGGGATTATCAGAGAAGTAATACCTGTGGATATTCAATATTATGATGATAAGCATTAGTATTCAAAAATTCTGAGATGAAGAAAGAGACTGGAGATGATGTTGAGAATAATCTGCTCACAAATATTGAAGAATTATTGATTTATCTTATTCATTTATTCATTGGTATGAAAGAGCCCATCTGTGAGTAATCTTCACTGATGGTGCTACTTTGGCAATTATGTGTCAAAACATGGACTGACCCCATGCCTTAGTACTCCAAAGAAAACTGGGGGTGGGATGTGGCAGGAACTGGGATAAAAACAGAACAAGGGGAAAGAGAAGGGTAGCAATAAATTAGGATGCAGAGGAAAGAGGCTGGGGTTTTGAAATGGATGAATACAGAAAGGGAGAGATGTGGGGTGGACAGGATGCATTATTCTGGCTTCTATAGTAACATAAGCCACAGCTTTCAGAACTACTGTCCCCCTGCTTGCAGAAGTAGGAAACACAGAACTTTGAACAATGCTGATAAGGTATCTTTCTGAAGTGATCAGAAATGAATGATGCTGAGCTGGGGTGAGAAGAGAGACAGGCCCACAGCCCGGGTCTGAACAATTTCTCAGGATGTTCTGGTAAAACCCAGGGATGAAAGAGGGGATCTTGAGTGAAATGCTAGGTGAAGAAATACCAGCGGTGCCCTTTGTAACTTGAAGGCATTACAGGAGTCAAGAGATGCTGCTCAGGAGGACAGACCTAACATATGAAAGAAACCTCATAAAGTAGGTCCCTAGAGTATTTGAATTACAGCCCTGCCTCTGCTACAGTATCGCTCAGTAGTGGTTTCTTTTTCATTATTATTTTGTCACAGTGCTGGCTAATTTTTCACTTTCTGCTTTCTGGCTCCGCTTCTGCATTTTGTTCTGTTCAAATCCCAGGGCTCAGTTCTTCCTTGACATTGGGATGGATGAGGGAAAGCAGGGAGTCACTTGGCTTTGCCTGCAGGGTGTCCTGCTGGACCTGGCGCTGTGCCTGATGTGAACAGAAGGATCCCCAGCTCGGCAACTCTCTTCTGGTCCCTGCCTGCTCTGTTAAGCTCCAGAGCTCTCCTCCTGAGCTACCTGTGTAACCCAAGCCTGAGTAACAGGGGATGGTTACAAAACATGTTGTTTGTACATCTCAACTGCCTTGATAGCGGGGTGCTGAAAAGTAATTGTTGTATAGCAGTTTCTTCTGATGTATTAATGATTACAGTATTCATCAATGTAATTGCCAGTTAAAATTGCACTACCAAATCTCCAGGGGCTCCTCTTGAATTTGCCAAGTAAGTGTGAGACATTCGTTCTATTTTTTTTTTTTTTAATATATTTTCTGTCAATGACGTTGTTATAGGCAGTGTGGGTAGCTATAGCTGCCTAACCATTTCTGATCCTCTTTCCCTATTGGAGTAAATGTACAAGTAGTGACATGGCAATGGATTTGGTAAAGAAAATTGCAGAATGATGTTTTTACTATATAAGAGTCAACTGCTATGAACCCTATGCTATGGCCCCACCACCATGGACTTCATTTGAGCTACTTCAGACTCCAGTAGCCAAACATTAGATTGTAATAATCCTGTTGAAAATCAGTAGGTTTACCAGGCAAAAAGTGCTGAATTTAATACTTTTGTTAATCCCGATAGAAGGGATTACAGAAGCGAAGATGCTAACTATGAGTGAATACTATGCTGAGATGAAGAACAAGTTAAAAGGGCATGATCTCTTGTGCTTGCCTCAACAATCATTGAATAAAAGTTATTTTCCAATTGTGTGGGTAAGCAGAGAATAATTTAGGCTTTCTGAAAGACATTGTTGCTTAGGGAGAGAAAGAAGAGATGTCGACCTTTGTGTGAAACAGCATAATGCTCATTTCCTCAACTCACCTCCAGATGAATAATTGACACATCCATCTAGCCACCAGGGGAAATAGATAACTTCATCCTTGAGAAACTTGGAAGCACTTGATTACTCATGAGTTTCATACTGAACTAATAGATTAGATACCCTTGCCCATGTATATAGTTAAACTCTCAGATTTCTTGAGGGTTCTGGAGAGGAGAAAAGGGATGAAGGGGAGAGGAAACACAGTGAGTGTACAGTCCACGACTGATGGTCAGTAAAATCTAAATGGTGTATAGGTTATATCTTCTTCAGAAGATAATGATATATTTTGCATCCCTTTAGAAAATCATTTGCATAAAGACATACTTGAAGTGAACTTCAAAAATCTAACCCATTTTCAGAATATGACTGAAAAGAAGAAAGAGAGTTTGGTATGTCAACGTTTCAAATTAAAAAAAAGAAAAAAGCAGAAGCAGTCTTTTGTCACTACTGGGGATTAGCAATTTAAATAGTTCAATCTTTAATCCAGGAAACTAGTAAAATGAGGCCAATTAACATTTGCAGGACACTTAAAATATTTAAAGTGGTAAAGGGCATGTTTCCAAAGGCATTCATACCTCTACTAAATGTGTTCTTTTTTTTTTTTTTTTTCCCTAGATGGCTTATATTTTTAATGCTTATGCTATGTGCTCTCAAAGGTTAAGTAAGAGTTTATTTACTGTGATGTAGAGAGGACTGCTGGGTGATTTTCTTCATCACAATGCACTTTAGTGCCACTAATAACCAATTTCTGATTTCCTGATATTGACATTCTGCGCACTGAAACCTGTGTCGATAGGACAAGAATGGTACATTCTCTATGTAGCTCATGGATAAGCAAAAGCACAGAGATGAGTAGTAGGATTTTTTATCAAAATGATTACACTTTGATTGTAGTTACCTAAATATCATCTTCTTATCATAGTGATTTGATTGCAGGATGGTAAGACTAAAAAGTACAGTCAGGTCTTCCCATAAAATTCTCATGGTAAAGAAACAGACTGAACTAGATTGTGTATGTACTGAGAAACACGAATGACTTGAGGAGAACAAAATCACTACAGGGGACAGAGTTGAGTGAGATATGTCCCCATATAAATTACATTTGACTTTGTGACAACACAATTTCCAGATTAGCAGCTGGCACATTTGTTCACTGGCATAATTAAAAACGTCTTCTCATTGTACCATATTAAAGCTTCAGTGTACTTTCAAGTGAGACAATTTAGTTCTTGTACTTGATGACAAGTGAACGCTGAGGTTTTTGTTTATTTGCTTTCTTTGTGTTGAAGTGTTGAAAGTAATCTGAAATAATACATGTATTCTTTAAATATAACTTAAACCAAACTCAATATTTTTTTTCTGTACTTTTTCAAAGAAGATAGTTATTTGTAATTCTGTCAACCCAATATCTTGTTTATTAAAAGCATTTCCTTCTCCCCATGGAAACAAGAAGAAAACAGTGGAGAAAAAGACTTGAAACATAAATTTCAATCAAATGTAGAAAAGTAAACTAAACCAAAAATAATGAGAGAAAGAAAAAAAAGAAAGGAAAGAAACAATAAGCGTATTCCTGTCCAAGTAAAATTATGCCTTATCTGGGACAAAACAGCTGAAAAATAAAGAGAAATTTAATCTTTATGATAACGCTCCTTTAGGCTTACTGTGTTGTTCCTGAACTCTCTATCTTTTAATGCAATGTGATTGTGGCTTTTGATGTATTTGTTGTTGTTTTTGTTGTTGTTGTTGTTTTCTTTTAATGGCTAAGAAGTAAGAATGAAGGCTTGGAACTGGCTCTCATACACAAAAAAAGCACTCCCTGTTGAAGAAACCCCTTGATTTTTATGTTTTCTTCCTTTGCTGTTCCAAAACAAAACCTAAAAATGTATGTCTCAAAATCAGTCATTTTAGGTTTTGCATTATTTAGGTTCACTGTTATTCATTCAGTGGTACATTAGTGGGGAGCATCTCTTGCTATCTTGCCTCTGCCTCTGTTCTGTCCAGCCAGTGCAGCCAGTGAGAGCCTGTTTTGCTTTACACGTTCTATCTTCACAGTCTCTTTTGTCCTTAAAACCTAAGAGGGGATGAGGAGTCCATCTTCTGAGGCTCTAAGATTTGGCCTTGATCCTTCAAAGTATAAATATGGGGCTTTGAATAAAATCTGTATATTTCTAACAAGTGTTTTTTTTTTTTTTTTTTTTTTTTTTTTTTTTTTTTTCCCTCCAATTTTAGGCTTACTTTAACCTTATCATGTCCCATGGACTTGAAGAATTTTCCTATGGATGTACAGACATGCACAATGCAGCTAGAGAGCTGTGAGTGTCCGATTGCTTTGCCTAGTAAAAACAAAACAAGTTTTACCATAATTTTGGTGGTTTGATAGTATTTACATTGCTATATTTGTGTGATCAGAATCAACATTCCTCTTTTGTAAGGGGTACTCCTGGAGAAAAAGTATTTGAACTAAAGTGTTGTTCCTTACTCCATGCTGTTCCAGCTCCTTTCTTTATTCTCCCACCTATCCAGTCAGGGCTGTGTCACTTCCAGGAATAACCACAGCAGTGCCATACCCGAGAAAACAAATCTCAAGAAAGTAAGAACAAGTAGGTCACAGCCAGGGATGAGTTACGTCTGATCAAGACGAGTCACGGCCTTTTGAAAAAAGATTTCACAGAATCATAGAATGATTGGAAGAGATCTTTGCGTTCATCTGGTACAACCCAGAGCAGGATGCCAGGCCCTTGTCCAGGTGGCTTTTGGAAATCTCCAAGGAGACTTCAGTGTCTCTCTGGGAAGCCTGTGTTAGTGCTCCATCATCTCCAACACAGAAATGCTGCCTGGTGTCTAGGGGGAACCTCATGCATGCCAACATATGCCCACTGCCTCTTGTCCTTTGCACAGACAGTATGTGTCAAACCACCTTGTTTTTTGAATTTTTATTTTGGTTTTGTTTTGTTTTGTGGGGAAGAGATAATGGGTTTATCTATATAAGTATGAGCTGCAAGTCAAGGTTACTACTTGTATTTGAGGCTGGAGCTTGGACACCGATTGTTTAGTTTCCTCTTAGCTGTGTGGTAACTGCAGTTGCAAAGATACTTCAGAAAGTCCAAACTTCTCTTTACAGCTTCACACCTCTCCGGTACATCACAGGTTTACAAAACCTGCACTATCACCTATTCTAGAAATCCTGGTTTTGTTCTGCCCAACAACTATATAGTCAAAGAATGATAAAAAGTAAGCAAAATGCTGGCTGATACATAGACAAAGAAAAATGCTAACTCATTTGTAAATAGTATCTTTCATGGGTCATAAATATTATTTTTAGTGGCAAACCAAGACACTATTTCAGAAGTTAATTATTTGTTGCTCTTAACATAGCAGTAATGCAATATTAGTAACAAGCAACTAATTGCAATTGTGCTGTAGTTAATCAGAAGGCTTAAAATTATAGCTAACCTTTACTGGAATAACTGACATATTTGTAAGCCATAGTAATACTTGCCTTCAAGGTTTTCATTACTATGTAATGAATCTGATTTCTTTGTTGTAGTTGGCTACACCATGAATGATCTGATTTTCGAGTGGCTGAGTGATGGACCTGTGCAAGTTGCAGAAGGTTTAACCTTGCCACAGTTTATTTTGAAAGAAGATAAAGAACTTGGTTATTGCACAAAACATTACAACACTGGTAAGCATTATTCTGTTGTTGCTGGTTTTTTTGTTTGTTTTTTTTTTCTCTGTGAATCTGGAAAAGAGGGGTAAAATTAAAACAACAACAACAACAACATCTATTTTTAAATTAAAATTGGATTCAGCCACAAATATTTTAAATCTGAAAAATATATCCTTTTTATTTTCATTTGCTTGAATGGTTTTTGTTTTTCTCCCCAAATTGCCTTAAACATCATTAAGGATACTCTAATAACATGTTCTAATATTCTAAAATCTTTAAAATCATTATGGTTTTAGAGTCTTGAAAGTGTAAAAATCTTGTCAGTCTGATTTCCTCAAAATGAAGATTTTAGAACAAACTAAATATCCTCTTTAATATTGATAAATCAGTTTTAAAGTAGTAATTTTTGAGCTTGATTTATTTTTTCATTATATTAAAATGCCAGTGAGGAAAAATATCAACTTTTCACCAACTTTTGTATGAGGTTTAACTTCAGAGATGTAGTATTTGAAATGGCAGTGCTTTCACTGCTGATCTGAATAGAGTGCAAACAGAAAATGTTGGAAAGTTGTTTAATAACCTTGTTTTCCTACTTTACTTTCCGAAAAGTTTCAAGTGTGTTTTCTTTCTGTAGCTATACAAGCAGGGAGAGGTCTGTTAAATTTGGATTTATCTGCTTGGAGTGTAATTAATAAGGACAGAGAACAGTTTGCTGGATGCTTCCTAGGATTAGATATAATCCCTGTCATCTAAAATCTTTTTTTTTTTTTTTCATTATTTCAGCATAAGGGCCAGTCCACTTGCATCAAAGACATTTGTTTCACTCTGTGAAATAAAACAACATGAGATGTTCTTCTCCTGTCCAAAATAAAGTCCCATTCCTTTCTCATGAAGAGAAAATTACTTTTATTATTAATGCAACTTCTCATCTGGGATCCCAAAGTGTCAGCAAAGGATTTTTTTTTTTAATTCCACAGTCCAAAATACGTGGAAATCAGGAGTGTTATTACTACTTTATTTTTTTTCTCAAATTTTAAAGGGATAAATCGGGAGTAAATTCCAATCAACATAATTCAAGTACTTGCAATGTGGCCATTGCAAAGTTCAGCTGTCTCCTGCCACATGATTCAAGCTCTGAATAAATGTATTAATCTGCTTTTCTAGTTGCTGACTCCCAGGTAGCCATTTTGCAGTGTGAAGTAAGAGAGAAAGGAGAGCATGTGCAATTGTTTTCTTATGTAGTCATTGAGATTCCCCACGGACAATAAAAATGTCAGTTAGTAGCTCCCACTTCATATATTTGAACAAAATATGTGAATAATTAACAAAATCTTGAAGAATGTACCCTGAAAAAGGGAAATGAAGAGCAGGATTCAGACGAAATAAGATTTCACCTACGTGTGTTTATTGCTGTCTTTTCTGAGGTATGCTCCTTCAGGTTTGGGGTGAAATCAAAACATAGATGAAAGCTACATTATTCAGCCTTCTCATCCCACCCATGCTGCAAGGAGCTCTGCCCAGGTTATGCCATTGGAATGTGGAGAGTGTTCCACAGCTTGGGCTATTCTAACACCATCACAATCATGGCTCAAACCCCATCTTTTAAAAGACCAGATCCCTTCTGTTTTGGCAGTCCTGATGTATCACTGCACAGGTCTCAGAGTCTTTGTCTTTGGGATGATGGGTCAGTTCACTGATATCACAACTTCTGTCTTTCCAGAGTATTCAATTTTTCCCCCCTCCTCAATTTGCCAAATTTCCACTGTATTGTACTTTGTGCCAACTCTCATGCCTGTCTGAACCTGCCACTCAGCTTTGTAAATGGGCAGAAAAGTATGTTTATCACAAAGAAAAGAAGAGACAAAAATTCGCCTTTCATCCACAAATCATGACGAAGGAGCAATGCACGTCAGTGCTTTTGCCCAACTGACACAACAGAGGGTCTTTGAAATAATTAGTATGATGTTTCACAAATGACAGATGTTCTTTTATTTGGGTTAGTCAGCATTGAGTGTGAGCCTTCATAGAACTAAAACCCCAGCCAAGGCACACCAATTTGGAGAGCAGCAAAAAGTGATTGGATTAATGGCCGGTGAGCTGCTGCAGCTCAGGACATTGCGTTCCCCACAGCATGGCTATCTCTACTTTCTTAAAATTCTGTCTTCCTTCACTCTTGCAAAGTAGGTATTTATTATATGAAGGATCACTTACCTCCCACAAGAGATTCTTGGGTGTTTCTTGGAGTTAGATTTTTGGTGAAACTCAGTCAGCTTTGAATTGATTCTGCTAGAAGGAGTAACCCGCAGGCTCAAGTAAATGATGTGATCAGAATGAAAAGGATTTTAATCTACTATAGGACATTAAGACTAATTTTTTACAATTCATTTAATTACGTTTGCTTTATCTAATGCAATTAAAAGAGCAAAATTCTGTTGTCTTTTAACGTTAAACTTTGTATTTGAGCAAAACAAAATCTTGTTAAATTTTAGGAAGAAAAAACAGCATTCTATTTTCTAGAGGTGAAGCAACTGTACAAATACTTGTTTTCTCAGATAATGTAAAGAATTGAGTACAGTCTGTTTCAGGGACTCCATGTCCCTCCCACTCTTGAGCTCAACAAGTGGCTGACTCATAGCTTTACGTTCACACGTAGTTTATGTTCAGAAAGCAGGATAAAACTGTGCAAAAAGCATTTATGAAAGTAATTTCATGTTCTAGGAAAGTTTACATGCATTGAAGTCAAGTTTCATTTGGAGCGTCAGATGGGATACTATTTAATCCAGATGTACATTCCTAGCCTGCTGATTGTCATTTTGTCCTGGGTTTCTTTCTGGATCAACATGGATGCTGCTCCAGCAAGAGTCGCATTGGGTATCACTACAGTTTTGACAATGACCACTCAAAGTTCAGGATCGAGAGCTTCCCTTCCAAAAGTAAGGCAATTATTTTGTACCACTGGTTTGTTATCACCAAGAAAAATTACAGTAATTTTGAAGTTTCTTAACAATCTATGTAAGAAGGTCAAATAAGAATAACTGAAAAAGTGGTGTCAATGTGATGCTAAACTGTTGCAACACCATTGCATTTGGATTAGAGTTTTCTGTTGGTTTATGGGATAGCCAGAGGGCTCAAAGCTATGGATTTTTAATGATTTACTGCTAGCTTTGTCACTTAGGCATCAGGATATAGAATAGACTTTCTGAAGTATCTAGGTACTTATCTGGATTTTTTAAATCACTTTCCTGAAAACTGAACATTTTATCTGGCTGGGGACTTTGTCTAATCTTTTCTGGACTGTTAGACTCCCAAATATCATGGCATGGTTAGTTATGAATCTCAATCAGATGGATATATAAACATACATACATATATATATAAAATACATATATGTGACATATATATACACCTAAAAGATATCTCTGGACAGTATTTTCAGAGAAGTCCTGATGTCTTTCTCTGCTTCGTGGTAGGATCAATCCATGTTCTTATTCAAGTGATGCCTGCACTTCAGTCTACACACAAAAATATCCTCTCACTTGAATTTTGTGGTCTTTTTAATACAGAATAGCTGCTGTAGATGAGAATACAGATTACAGAATATATTATTTGATTAGACCACATAGAAACACTTTTCAGCATGGGCACATTTTAATGCTTCTGTCAATAGCATTCCCAATGGAATTTATATTGCATGCTCAGGTTTTGTGCAGTTTTCTGGAAGAGAACTCATAGGTAGATCAGTTAACAATGGTCTGTGGAGTCATGAGATATGATCCTCTTTTCAGCTGCCCAGAATCACAAGGACTGGGATCATAAAACTGTGCTAACTGTAAGGAAAACAGAAATGTTGAATGCTTGTATTGCATACGATCAATTCCAAAAGGCATGTTGTGTTTTTTCTGCTTTACTCTCTGTATCATATTCAGTCTAATTCCAAGTACTTTAATTTGTTAAAATTGAGCATATATAGACCAGCTTTAAAAACTGCACAGATTGTGTTACTCTTCTGTTGGTATTGAGAAAGTATCACTTAAAAATCCAGTGTCTACAACAGTTGGTTCAGCTTCACTTGTTCACTTGGAACTATGTATAATTTTCCATGAAAACTAAAAATATTTTGTATATTAACACCGAATTTCAAATTTAAACTTTCTTAACATTTGTTCTGTCAATATTACCAAATGAACACTCTGAGAAGAAAGTCAACAAAGAGATAATCTTGGCAAGAGCCATGCAGGATCTGTAGATAGCAAGCTCATAGTCACTGGAGACTGTGTCTAGATGGTACAACTTGATTCCATGATTTCTTCCAAATATTACACATTCCAGCTTTCTTCCAAATTAACTGACTTGAGAATTAAAAGTGGTACAATCACTGTAGTGGAGCTTTCCACTCACATTTCCAACAGAGAAAACATACCCTACTAAGAAGCTCTGCAGTGATAGCATATCCATAAAGATAATTTAGAAAGACTTCATCTTATGCCTTTGATCCAGATGAAACATTTATCCTTGCTGAATTCTCTCTTGTTTGAGTTGAAAAGCATTCTCTGGATAAGTTTCTGGGCTTCTGCTGAGTAGAAGAAATGTGAAGATCCAGAATATGTTGACTGTAGCAGTTTGATTATTGGAGATGTCCTTCTCTATCTGCAAAATTAAATAGATTTATCTCATCTGTCAGAGGTGACGTTCTGGCCCTATCCCATCCTCTCCTAGTTTTCTCTGCTGTTTCTTTGTCAGAAGACATGTACCCCACCAGAGAGCCCAGCACATTTATTTCACTGGGGCTGCACCTCATTATTGCATTTCCACTCTGTGAATTCAACCAAGCTGTGTCTGAAGAATCTTGGGACTGACACAAACCAACACTTCAAAATAAACTTTCTGTTCACATTTAAGTAGAACACCCATGTCTGTATACAGGTCCCTGCTGTATACTGTCAGCAGTACCCGATTCCTTACAAAAGGAAGGAGAAAGTTTTTCTTGCTGTTGCTGTTGCAAGAACACAGCAATTTTAAAACCCTATCTGTAGCTTAGTATAAAAATTGTATTTCTTAATAAAATCTGTCCAGCTGAAATGCATTTAGAAATAAAAATATGAAAATAATTACTTCAAAACAGTGTTGAATCTGAAGTCCCCAAATGGCTCCTTAAAATCAGTGTTTATCTAAGTTCTGTCTACATTCTGCCAAGACGCAGGAAGTTGGGCTGTCAATAAAACATTCATTTTAAAATTGCTCCAAGCATGAATATCTAAGAGAATCAGACATGACAGAATGGTTATTTTTGCAAGAGTACAGAAAAAACAGATGCAACTGCTCTGTGAGAACAGACTATATTTGATTACAAGAGCTGAGTTCTTCCCCATTCTACCTTGTGTCCTATTCTTATTAACACACAATTAACACATATTTATAGAACTTAAACTTACCCTTAATTTACTCACTGGCTCATGCCAAGCTGATAAATTAAGGGTATTCTTTCTTCTTTCTTCTTTCTTCTCAACTATTTTATTAGAACTTTACCAAAAATAAATAAGCAAATAACTAAAACAAAAGCAAAGCATCAACATCTACCAATTTTATGAGTAATTCCTTTATGTTAAAGAAAAAAAAAGTGAAGAAGAATTGTGCTCAGAAGAATCCTAGTTAGTTTTTTTTGGGTCAGTTTCTGAGTTACTATCAAAATGACGCAAGTGGAACATTTTAGAAGTAATTACCCACACATTGTTCTCAACCTCAACATGACATGATGTGATAAAGTTCTACTTCCTTGAAATCACTTTTTTTCATATTAAAAACCAATATTCATTTTGATACACAGCTTTTCATAATGTTAGGTCACAGAAGCATAGATATTAGGCTTCCAGATATTGAAAATTAAATGTAAGTTCAAGACTGCTGAAAAGAAAAGGAAAGAAACTGAAAGTTAATGAGAGAATGAAAATACAGTTGACTCACGATGTCAAAGGGAGATACTGGTGGTATGGCAGTAGAGGCTGAACTTTCCCAACAGTATCCCATTACATGTTGCTGCCATGTGAGAGATGCAGCAATCTTCCAAAATGGCATCTGACATGGAAGCAAAGGTGTGTCATTAAATTCTTGAAAAAATGGCACCCACTGACATTCATTGACACTTGCTGAACATTTCTGGAGACCAACCACTGAATGTGAGCACAGTGATGGATGGGCATTTCAGCGGTGGTGACAGTGGCAGTGGGTCATCTCCACTGGTACGGATTGTTACAAGTGTGGCACGCCTGTTCACTGGTGAAAATGCATAGCTCTTGATGGTGACTATGTTGAAAAACAGTGTTTTATATCTGAGAATTTTCTCTGTCAAGCAGTGTTATGGTACTCTTTTTAGCTGTTGTACTTTCCATGGAAATAAATAGTACGCATTACTATCAGAGAAACTCATGTAACTCCAGCTGGTATTTGTGTTTGCACACACTGAAGAGAAAAATCTAGATAGCTTCTTTCAAATGAAATGTGATTATATTTCTTTGATAAATTTTCATAGTCCTTCTGCGCAGTTATTATCTTCATAGCGTTTGTAATTCTGCCTACAAATACAGGGTCAAATTCTGGTAACAACAAACTAGTGAAAAAATCACTATGTTGTTTTGTTGGTTTTTTTTCATTTATTTTTCTACAGAGTTGATTTCTTTCTTAAAAAAGACAGAAATAAATCACGCAAGAGTTTAGAGCCCCAGCAAACTACTAATGTAGGAGGCAAGAGCTGCAGTGCATGTTTCAGAAAACATAAATGTTCTTTTCTACTTTTTATCATAAGGTAAACAATATCAAGTTCTGTTTCCTTCATGGGGATGAAGTACTGATCTTCTATACAAAGAATAGCTGCAGAGAATCCTTCACCACGGTGTCAACCTGTTTTATAGAAACTAAGTTATTGTGTGTTTATTACAGAAAACTGGTGATTGTTCACATGGCCAGAATTACCATCAGTGGCCATGTTAAGAGGTGATAAGAAACTAATCTAGAAAACTGGGCTACTACCTTCCCTCCAATTGGTCAATCCAGTGCGCAGACAATCAGGAACACTGATCCAAAATGACATGGTTTCTCTGGCCAATTCTCCTTCCTCCAAATTCACATTTATAAGCCCTACCTACATCTGATAGTCTGTGTCTGGATTCCTCTGTTCATGCCATCATTTTCCACCTAGAAATTTAGCTAGACTAATGTCTGTGCAGTAACTTTTGCTGACTGACCAAATGAGCAAAAATCCTGGATGGTGGTTGTCAGCTTGGCTGTGTATTTGTATTCACAATGAAACTGAGAAACTCTGAGCTTTGTCTGCAAGTCCTATGCATGAGCCCTGGAGCTGCCTTGCATCTAAGTGCTTGCTGGACTTTACCTCTGCAAAAATAAATAAATAAATAAATAAATAAAAATCTGCTATATATCCATGCAGAATTCTGCACATCCTTGAATATAGTGTTTTGTGGAAGTATCTGACTGCACAAACATGGCAGCCTGTATTTTTCAAAGCATGATCTGAAGAACTTCTGGGCATCACAAAACAGATCTGTAATATGCTGTTGCTTTTTTTTTTTCCTTTAATAGTATCAGTAGTGTATGAGCTCTCAAAGTAAAGGGGAGCATATTGGTATAGTAAGCATAAAATTGGTGAGAAATATGAGAAAGTATCTTGTTTTTTTTTTTTTTTCAGAGCATTAGATAACTATTCTCTTCCTATTCCATTTATTTTTAAACAGCTTTCCTTTTGTTGAATCAACAGAATCAAGAGCTTTAAAGAATTTAATTAAAAAAAGCATTGGAAACAATAAGTTCTCTGCTATGCTAGTAATTGGGTATTTTTCAAATTGCTTTCTTCTTAAAACACATGCATAAACCAAACTGTAGCATCAACAGTCCAAGAAAGTGAATTACTTTTTTTATACCA